AAAAAGTCCTTATAAGTTTGGTTTTGTTCAAATTAAAAATGTGAAACCGGTACTTTACAGGTTCTTACAGTGTAAAAGTGATCCCGTTTGGTTTCCAGATAAAGATGACAGATTTTACTCCTGATAACTACACCATATATGTTGCTGAGAAGGAAAGACCAGCTGAAAGAAAAGCCACTGTTTTCTTCTACAATGAAACTTCAACTCATGATATCAGCCATCTGAAGCCGTGCACTGAATATGAGCTAAATGTCACACTTAATGTCTCCAATGTTACAAAAATATTCTGTAACACAACTGAAAATAAAACAGTTACCACAATATCAACAAAAACAACAACTGGAATGAGTGAGTTAAATTCTTCATATTTCATTTTTACTTTTTTTTTACTGAAATAAAATTTTGTGTAGAACTGTGATGAATATTTTTATGTGTTTCAGCTGGAAGAGACATTAAAAGCATCTCCTGCCCTTCTGGATATTTCTGTTACCAAAGTGGTTGGAACATCAGCTCTTTACTATCAGGAAACAACAAGGTTTCAGATGTGCAGTTCATCAATGGATCGTATCGTATCAAACCTGCTTATGAGAGCATTTGCTCAGAATTAGTTTTGGAGTTCCCACAAGAAAAATGCACGAACATCACCTTTACCATAACTGAAAATGTTCCTTTTGGTATGTACAAAAGCATATTAATTTTAAAATCACATTAAAATCACATTCATTTGGTATTTTTTCTCCTTCAGACTTCATTGATGTAAACGACGTAATTCAGCCTAAACCCACTGAACTTCCTGCCAAGATAGAACCAGAATTACCTCCAAACTGTCAGAATCTCAGTGTTGAGTATAAATGTTCAGGTAAATAAAATTATAGGTGTGAAAAAACATTTTTAAATATTTAGAGGAGAAACTGCAGACACAGATTCTTCCTTAATGTTATAAATATTTGTTTAATACGTTTCCTCTGTAAATTAGTTCTGAATATTTAACAGCTGATTTGTGTTAATAGACATCAGTCACTGCAGAAATGATTAAAAGTTTGTGTCTCTTCAGGAATCAACAATGACTCTGTTGAACCGTCTGACATGAAGCCGTTCACAGACTACAGCTGTACTGGTGACATCAAGAACAACCATGGCTCCATAATTCAGACTCTTCCTCCTGTCCAGTTCAACGTTAGCTGTGGTGAGTTGGTATTTACTGCATCTCACTGGAAATAAGAAGCATAAAATTATTATACTGATACATCCTGGAAAGAAATACAACTATCAGGACTTTGTTGCTTCTTATTTTATTCCAACAGATTTTTCAATAAACTTCCTGCTGAAAAGTCCAACCAGTAATTCCATTAAGCTGAACTGGGAACCAACGAGTCGTAAATGTCATGGTATTCTTGACAAACTGACGGAGCTCTCTTATAGCTGCAGCTGTCGGCAAGGCTGGAAACGTAAGTGAAATATACTTACATTACTTATTTACATTAAGTAATGTTTAATACATCTTAACTAGTGCAACCATTTTAAATTAACTTTAACTTATAAATGGAAGATTTGTGAATCTATCAGTCTTATTGTTTTTATAACAACAATGTGAGGAAATAAAGATCTGTAAAATAACCAGATGTGACTCTAAACTATCACTGACCTGTGGATGATTTTAATGGAAATATTTTTCTTAATTGAATGTTTAACAT